GCAATAATTTGGCAATAATTTGGCAATAATTTGGCAATAATTTGGCATTTGGAGACCAGCAGGATGTGGTCCAGGATGAAGGTACAGAGCTAAATGGCCCATCCTCAGGTTGTGTCTCGCAGCAGGCAGAGCTGAAGGAATGGTCCATAGGGACAGCTGTGCCAGAGAGATGAGGGGCTACCAGGAATCATCACTGCAAACTACTTGGATGATGTGAACAACTCTGGGAACCAGTGCATGGATTCATTCTCTTCAGGTGAGTTCCCTGAGCTGCCTTTCCCTGGGAACACAGCAGCTGCAGGGCTCGGGGGATTTACCATTCCCTTTGGTTTACTTCTTTTCCTTTACATCCATTTCCTGCTGTAAAGTGGAAGCTGGAATGGTGTCAAATGAAGCCTTGTGAGCGTTTTGTTGGTTTGCTGTTCCATCAGCTGCTTCTCCTTCTGTTTTGCGGGAGTATGAAATTTTCTCCATGAAAACAGCTCGTGGGATCCTACAGCCAAAATCTGATCCGGCTCTGGAAGTTATTATTCACAATCAGACAAACCTAAGCTCTAGTTCTGTAGAGGAAATATGAAGATACTCTGATGGCTGAACTAAAGGGGTAGAAAAGTGTGAGTTTCTACCTTGGAATTTTGAACTGCACCTTGGAATTTTGAGCTGGACCAGTGGTAACTCCCAGCTCCTGGGAATGGGCCTGCTGAGGAGTGTGTGCCTCCTCCTGGGAGCTGATCACACTGCAGGGAACACTTGTTTTAATCCAGCATCTTCATTCCTTTCCCAGTGGGAAAACACCTAAAAAACCTCTCTGTGCTTTACTTTTGCTTTGTCTTTCCTGAGGAGAAAGGAAAACTCTGGATTTAAACACACAGGGAACAAGTGGGAATTTGTGTCAGTGCCACATAAGGAAGTGGAAAAAATCACCCTTGACAAGGGCACTTTTTATGTCACTGTGTGGTTGGGGAGGCAAAACTGGCACCGAGAACCTCTTTGTAGACCTGCCCTGGGTTGGTTTCCTTGTGCACTGTTATCCAGCTCCTCCCAGGAGAACTGGCCCTCTGCCCCATGCCCCAGTCTCCTGCCATCCCAGCAGTCCCCAGACTGCCCCAAAATAGGCATCCAGGGACCTGTTCCAGCCACCTGCTCACTGTCTGTGCTGAGTGGCCAAGGGACTGTCCCCATCCCTGCAGCCTCCATCAGTTTTGACTCCCATGCTGGAGTTGCTGGGATAAAAAACCCCCCAAATATTTCCTGCTGGTTCTTCTGATGGACTTGGAGGGATCTAAAGAAATGTCAGTCCAGCTCTGATTGGTGTGAGAGACTGTCTGAAAACAATCCAGGAAATAGGGGTTTTCTGGCTTTATTTTGGAGAAATTCACAAGTGTTCACGGGGAATCTGGAAGCCAAAATGAGTGTTTACTTATGTGGCTTGATAAAACAGCTTTGCACAACAGTCTTGATGGCTTGAACACTGAAATATTTGAATTATATGCTGCAGTTACCTTTGCCAGTTAATCTTTACTGCAGTTAACTGGAGCGAGAAAATCCCAGCTGGCTCATCCTTCCCCTATGGAATATTTTATGTGTCAATGGGAGACAGTTGGCATCTCTGTGATCCTGCAGCAGGACACAGTTTCAGTCAGATGCTGATCCTTTGCTCCAAGGTTAAAGGTCAGCTGATGCCTCATTAAAGCAGCTGGAGGAACCCTCATCCAGAGAGATTCATTAAAACAAGGAGCCAATTACTTGGCAGGAAGCTGCGTGTGTTGGTGAGACACTGGCATTAAATTCCATGTTTGGGGACTTCAGAAACTTTTGCAACAGTCCAACATTAAAAGCTTGTCAATTCACTAAGTTGGGATTCATCTACACGTGTTAAAATGTTCAGCTGTCGTGCCACTGTCTCGTGCTCCAGGATAAACACCCCTTTTTAGCACAGATGCTGCAAACTTTAAATAAATGCAAGCAGACAGGTCTCCCAGCTTTGTTCTGGGAGCACAGAGCAGTGCCAAGGTTAAACCAGTCTGCATTTCAGTTCTTCCTGACGCTCATCTGTGGGTAAAGGCCTTGTGCTGTAATTGTGTGGATATTGATATTAATTTGCAGTGCACAGCTGGAAAACTGAATTATACACACACTTGGAAGTTTCCCTTGACAAACAACTACCATAAACCCGTTGCAAACCATGTCTGTTTGTTAAAATTTAGGTCAGGATTTGATCAAGAAATCTTTAACAAATTTAGAAATCATCTAAACCAAGGTTTTGCTTTTAGAGTGTAAACAGACTTTCAGGTTTATCTCATGGATGTTTTGGATGATGAACATGTCCATGAGGGACTGTACACTCCTGTTATTGCAGGTTTAACTACCTATTTCTTTCTTTGCTTATTCTTTTTTAATTTTTACTGTCCTTTTTTCCATTCTGTTCTAGGTTGGCCTTGACCACATGGAATAAAACACAGTGCTGAAGTCCAGCGTGACACAAGAAGTTGGTGTATTTATTTTTCTTTTTTTTGAAATGTAGGTAAATTGAATCCTGATGAGGTCCCGTATTAATGATTTACAGACAAAAACCTAGAGCTTAAAAGAGAGGGAAGTGGCAATAAACTGACCCCGTGGGATCTGCAGCCATGTCTGGAAAGCCAGTGTGCATTGGTGATTTTGAGGAGTATGCTAAAACCTTCCTCCCCAAATCCGTGTACGATTATTACCGGTCCGGGGCGGATGACCAGGAAACACTGGCAGAAAATGTGGCAGCATTTTCCAGGTAGGAGGGTGATTGAAGGCTGGGGTGGGAGGTAGGGGGTGTGAGTTCTGCTTTAGTACTGTGTGTGGTGCAATTTTAGATTTTTCCTTGTGAACAAAACTCAGTTTTTCTGCAACTTTTTTTTTTTTAGCAAGAAGAGTCTCAAATCACTGATTTTCAGAACCATTGTCTCTCCCCTCTCACTCCTCCACCCAACACTTTCTGTCAAAAATCCATCCCTAAAATCCATTAGCACCTTTTTAGCTTTCCCTGCATTTTGGTTCTTTTTTTACCAGGAATTCTCTAGACCCTTCAGCTCCAATATTTAATCAGCCAGTGAGCTGCTGGGACAGCTGCTGATGTCCCTTGCCTTGGGGTGCTGTGCTGGTGCAGGCATTTAACCCCTGCACTTCCCTTTGCTAATCTCTAAAGGCTTTGTCTTTAATCCTCCTGAGTCTAACAAACCAAAACAAGATTTTTCTGATTTATCTTCAGTCTTTCTTCTTCCCCACTCTGCTTTCCTGCTTAGAGCAGGAGTTCTACTCACTGCTCCAGTTGCTTTTCTGTAGGCTGTGAGCAGCTCAGCTGGAAATCCCATACGAGCTGAAGGCTGTAGGAAATGTAGCGATAGTTCAGCAGGATCTCAAAGGCCAGATGGCAGGAATGGGCTCAGAACCTTCATTTTAAGGACACAGAGAGAAAAGCCTTATAATGTCAAGAGAAGAAAACTCACCTCTACTGTGGCTACTTCTTCCAGAGCTTGCTCATGCAGAAGCCATCATCCCAGGCTGGAGTTTCCCTCCTCAAACACAAGCCAAAGAGTTGCCCTGAGGGGTAACTAGGAGCAGGAGGGGGTGTAGCAGTGCTCACCTGAGCTTTATTTTATCTTTCTTGATGCTTCCAGATGCTCTGATGCTACCTGCCCTCGTAAAACCAAAATGAGACATTAAGGAAAGGACACTCAAAGGAAGGACTGGGAGGCCATAAACTGTGGGGGTAGTGAACGTTTTACTTGTGACTGCAGGAGCTAATCATGATTAAATTGGGTCTAAACCTTCCAGAGACAGGCTGACAAAGACCTGGGTATGTCCCTTACTGTGTTGGCATTAGCAGGGCTGGATGGTGGAGGTGAGATAAGGGATCTGAAGCTGCTTTCCACGGCAGGGATTGATTCCTGTGATGAAAAAATCCTATTTTCTTACTACATGGGATGCTGCCATTGACAGTCATGATGCCGTGTTTGCAACCCATCTCTAAAAGGTAGAAACTGCTATAAAGGCTTCATAATATTTTGATTTTAAAGTCCTGTTTGACATGAACAACGTATAAAATCTGTCTTTTTCCCATGGATGCTGTCAGGAGGAGCATGGCCTACCCCTTATGGATGCAGGACAGCTGCTCACTCTGCTCCTCACACAGCCCTGCTGTGTCTCTGAGTGTGTTTTTTCTGCCTGTTCCTGAGTCCAGCTTGAGGGTCAATATAAAGTAAGATGGACTTTACACCCCCGAGTCACAGAGATCACAAAGTAAGATGATTTTTCTGAAAGATATGAGTAAGTTCAGCTTTGTTTCCCATCGATCTCCCCTGTCAGAAGCTCGGCTGCAGGTTCAGCCTGATTCAAAATGTTTGCAGTTTATTGAAATATTTATAGATACCCAGTATCACCACAGGATGGAGGAATAAATAGATTGTTATTAAGGACTAATATAATTACTATTAAGGAGTAAGCTTAGATCCCACAATACCTCTGGAATACCACCTGGAATTTTTGGAGCAGCACAGTTGATACTCATTAGGTTATAAAATGAACGTCTTGGCTTTTTGACAGCTCAGGAGCTTCAAGTACTTTGTGTAATCAGGTGCCAGAGTATAAACTGTCTCCACAAGGCCAGTGTTTAAGGTGAGGTTAAAGCCAGGTACGGCCACTCTCTGCCAGCTTCCAGTTCCTCTGGGACTGAGGGGAGAACAGGAACTCTGGTGTTGACATCAGTGTGGTCCTGCCGAGGCCAGATGAGTATTTTTTGTTCCTGGTTCTCAAGCGAGGCATTAAGGCCAGGCAGGATGATTTGGGATGTCAGAGCAGATGTTAGTCCCTGTGTCGCCTTGCTGCCTTTGCCGTGTGTTCCCTCTGTATCCCGGAATGCCGAGTGCCCTCCCAGCCCTGTGCCAGTTAAAGCCACTCTCCAGCTGTCGAGGAACCAAGGAGCCTCAATGGAGAATGGATTTCTGTGGCAAGATCGGGACATCTTTAGCTTGATGGCATTCAGGAAATCAATCTGGAATCTCCCCCTTTGGCATTTTAAGGAAGGAGGGCATTGGTGTGTCCAGGAACAGGCTCCTGCTAATCCGAGGAATCCCCGGCAGCCTCTGGAGAAGCTGCCTTGTTTTGTCCCGTGCAAGGAACAGCAGCTGCTGCTTCATCAGTGACAGCATCGATGTGGGTTTTCTGCAAACCTCATAGCAATGAAAGGCACTAAAATGGGCACATAAGGAATTTAAATATTGGTTAAAAAAGCGAGGCTGCCGTGTCTTTCACCTCGGGTTCAGAGCCCTGCGAAAAGAGTGTGGATGGAAAGACACCCTGGGAGGGAAGATTGCTTTCCCTCAAGGAAAAGCAGCTCCTGGTTTGCCTGGCACAGCACCAGCCCCTGCCCCTTCTGATGGAAGAGGAGCTGTAGGGAGAGATTAAGGCAGCGAATCGGGTTGGGATGGAGACTTTTTCTGAACTGTGAGTCCTTTCCCAAAGAGCCCTGCTGCACAAGGGGATTATTTGGGATGAGCTCTGAAGGGAAGCAAGAAGAGCTGCTTGAAAATGTGTTACAGTTTGAAAACATCAACATTTTTCACAGCTGAAAGCAGTGAGAGCTTCCCTCTTACCCCTCTGCAAGATAATTTGAAACTGGAAATTTTTTAGCTTGGAGAAAAAAGGAAAACCCCCCAAAAGATTAATCCCCCTCCTTCTCTTTAATCCTTCCCTCAAAACAGCTTCTAGCTGAAGTTGCCCAAAGCAGCAGTGCTTGCTGCCTTCCCCACTGTGGCATCTCCCACTTCCAGCTGGGAAGAAGGATGTGCTCACTCTGTTGCTGATTGCAGCACATGAGAATGGACTTGGCTGGAAAAAGATGTGGGTGATGAGGAGATGAAGAATTTAAAAGAAAAACCCAAGCTTATTACAAAATATCCAGGAAATGTTTTCACTGAAAAACCTGGAGGAAGCAGGTGGTGTGTGGCAGCTGAATGAACATGTGCTCTGGTGGTGACTGGGAAATAAATACTACTTGTGGGTTTTCCTTGCTGCTGTTAGGGGCTTGTCTAGAAAATGCCTGGCTTTGAGTGTCCATCAGACTTCCAACTGGAAACACCCATGTTTCCACGGTAAGATCAGATTTTGTTAAAAGAAGTAGTGATGTTGGTATTTTTGTGGGACCCAATACATAGTCAGGGTGTTGATGGAGAGGTATCGCTGCCTGGAACTGCATCATTTTCCTTGCACACACTGCTGGGAGGATTTTTGCTCCTTCTCTTCCTTTTCCCAGCTAAAAGCACTCCAGGAATGTTGTGCCTCAGGACTGAGCCTCACAGGTGGGTTTGGAGATGGCAGTGGCTTGTACCAGGTAACAAGGAGAAACCAGGAGGCTGGGGAAGAGGGAGATGCTCCACATCCTTTATGCTTCTTACTGTCTAAATGAGCAAGGTTATGAAAGGATTTCTGCCTTAAAGCTGAGTGGAATCCTTCAGAATGAGGATTAGGAAAAAAAGGAGGAGGAAAAAAAAGTCATATTTTTTTTGTCCCACCCTCAGTCCATCCTCCCCTGAAAAATAACAGACTGATACAATGGCATGAAAACAAGTCCGAGGACACACTTGCCGTGTGTGTCTTGGCACTGAGCAGCACAGCTGACTCCCCGTGGCCACACAGCTCCTTCCAAGCATCACAACTGTCCTCCTCCTCCCTGGAGAGCGTTTCCTGGAGAACTGGCAGGGCCCCGTGCTCCAGGACTTGAGGACGGTGGGTCTCATCCTGGCTCTGTCCCAGGCTCCTCAGGGAAATGTCTCTTGATCTTTCTATAAAATACACAAGACTTTGTCTTGTCTCTTTTTCACTGACTTGCCAGTTTAATATGCAAGCTCAAACTCACCCCTCCTCGCTGTTGGAGGGTTACAATGGCTCTGGTTCTCTCTCCATGCTGAGAATTACAATATTATCAGTCAGAGCAGTTAGTCAGGTTCAGCAGTACCAGAGCTTAAGCTTTTAATTCTTTTCTGTAATTGAAATCCAGTGGCCATCGGAGCCCTTTCGGAGGGAGGGAGGCCTCAATGAGAGGCTGGTGCTTGCAGAGAGGCTTTGGCCCGTGTGAGAGGCAGCCCCTGCTATCGCACCCCCTCTTGTGGCTTCTGGTGACGCTGGCAGTGCTGTGACATCGCCTGGATGGCGGGGGAAAGTCCCGTTTCACGGGCGTCCCCAGGAATGCAGCCCCGTTCCTAAAGGTGTGGATGTTGTGCTGTTGAAGGCTGCAGCAGAGGGTGATTTCGGGTTCGGTGTGGTTTAGTTTGCAGCTCTGGGTGACACAGGGGGGTCCTGCTCCAGCGCCAGCACAGCTCCCACCGTGTGACAGCAGGAAAACCTGCCCTTGCCCGCTCGGAACTGTAAATATCCCCGGTGCCTCAGGCCTCCTTTAACGCTCTCCCTTTGCCCCCCGTGCCAGGTGGAAGCTGTACCCGCGGGTGCTGAGGGATGTGTCGGAGATGGACATGTCCACCTCGGTGCTGGGGCAGCGGGTCTCGGTGCCCGTGTGCGTGGCCGCCACCGCGATGCAGCGCATGGCTCACCCCGACGGGGAGACGGCCACTGCCAGAGGTGAGCGCACAGACTGCCCCCGCGGGGGGGTGGGCACGGGCAAAATCATCCTGGCCACGGATCCCAGCTTGGTTTTTTGCCGGGGGGGGGGGGGTTGAGCTGCTGCTGGTTGGTTTTTGGGTTGTTTTCCGCTGTTTGCTTTGTTTGAGCCCCGTTCCCTCCCTGTGAAACACACAAGATTGTTACACTTGTCACATGTAACACTGCAAACTGTATCTACCTATACATTCTATAAATATAACTTTATATAGAGATAGTCACAGCACCAGTCTTCCTCTTAGAGAATTGCTTCTGGAAATTCAGAAGCCTTTGCTTTTCTGGGAAAAATCCTTGCTTTGAAGAGAGAACATCCCAGGGAGATAAGGGCCCCTCTGGGCTAGAAGCTGCACAGAGATTTTGCCAGCACAGAGGCTGCACCTAAAAGGCTGTGAGAAATGAGGCATTAACCAGAACTGAGATGGCAAACTTGTTTCCTACTCCTTTCACCCAAGCTGCAGAATGACATGAAAACTGAGGAGGAGGTTTGGGCTGTGCATTTCAGTGCCCTGGCACTGAATGAAAAAGGCTACAAAACTTAAATAAGTGATATTTGAAAAAAAATAAATCCCCTACATGGTTGATTTATTCCTCTAACAGTGTTTCCATGCCCAGTGCAGCAAATACCAGTGTGAAGGGAGTCTGAGGACCATCCCTGCAGTGGGAGCTGGTCTCAGTTCTCAATAAGAAGCTGCATCAGGGTCGCAGCACAACTCCAGCAACCATCTCTGTAAAAGCAGATTTCTCTAATTTTGTACCGTGTTTGGGGCCACTCTTTCTTCCCTTCCCAAGAGATTTACTGGCAGCCAGTGCTTTTATGGCTGTTGTATGTGCCGGTGCTTTCCACGCGATGGAGCTCCAACACCTCGAATGGGTTTGGGAAGGGCCGGTGAGAGCCTTGGTGCTGTCCTGTCCTTTGGCAGCTCCTGTGGATTAACTCCGGGCCAGGTTGTGCTGGGGGGAAACTCTGAAGCGTTAAACTGTTAAGTGCAAACCTATTAATGCAATGGGGAGGGTAAGATTTGAAACACACAAAACTCAGGATGTTTCTTAGCAAAAATTCCCACTGATTCTGTATCCTGGCCACATTTTAAGGCATAAATCCATAATGGCATGCCAAGTCAAGGGGTACAGCAAGGCTGAGTACCAGGGCTGAGTTATGGTTGTGGTAATAACTTAATTCTGGAATTTCCTGATTTTTGTGCACTTACTTTTGTGCGCTTTTCAAACTTTTAACACATGATTATTGCATTTAATGTCCTTGGGTTTTCGAGCTGGGGGAGCTCAGTGGTTGGAATATGTGATCCAGTAAACACATCCATTGGAGCCGGGGAGTTTTTCGTTGCTTTCAGAGGAGAGCATAATTAAAATCACACCCTCTGTATTGCATTGGTGTTTGGGGGAGAGGAAAATATGGCTTTGGTTTCGTGCTGTTAGAGGTGGGGCGGGGCATTCAGTGCCAGGCTCTTGGTTTGACCTTATAAGATGACAGGAATTAGCTCAGTAAAGTGTAAGTTTGGCTTAAAGGCTCCCTTCAACCTCACAACCCCTCACTTAGGGCTTGCCAGGCTTTTGGGGGCTGCTGCTCCCCCAGGGATGCTCTCCTGCACTGACCCAGCTGCACCTTCCCAAGACAGGGCCTTAAACACCCTTCAGTGGCAGTTCTGCTTCATTAGCAAAGGATCTTTTAAGGAAAAACTTCCAATTGCCATTTTAAAAGTTGCTGGTGACAGGCCAGCCAGCACAATGGAAGATATTCCAAAGGTTAACTAACCCCACTCTGAGTGGGGTCAATCATGGTCAAAACTTGCACAGCCTCAATTCCAGGTATTGGGTTTACTTATATTTCTGTTAGCTAGAATTAAAAAAAATAAATAAATTTTTTTTAAAATGCCCATGTAGGCTGTGATAATGTTATTCCTCAGTTTTCTTTGACATATCTAAATGCCAGGAGTCCTTCCTTATAGAGAAAGATTTCTTGTCCTTGAAACAATTTCACACACCTTGGCACTTGTCCCAGTTCTTCCAGGTCTTCCTTCAAGTATATTCCCTGGCATTTTAGTTGTAGCTCATCAGTATATAGGGCAGTTTTCCAAAGAATGGATTTTCTGTTCAGTAGAAACTGAAAAATTGGGAGGAAAATTGTTTTGGATTAACTGAAATGTTTCATTTGATCCAAAACACAATGTTTTATTTCATTTTTCCTACTGGCTGATGCTTTTAGCCATAGCTCTGTTTTGAAACAAAAGTGTTAGCTCAGGAGAAAACATTTCCATTTTGAAAAGATCAACACATGACATTTTGACTTAGGTGATTTTTTTTTTTTCTCATCCTCCCCACTCCAATTTCAACCTCTTTAACTAAAAATATTTGCCAAATTGGATGAATAATCTTAGCCACCATTAAAGAGCAAAAGGTTATTCTCTAAACACTTTTCAATAGAACCCTTCTGATTCTGAGGGATTTTTCTTGCCTGTCCATCAGAGGACTTGCTGTTCCTCCGTTCCAGGACATCCCTTTGCCATCCCGACTCCACACTGTGCTTGCAAACCAACGTGCTCCCTGTGTCAACAGCACCCACCTCAAGTGCTCTGACAAAAAATCTCGGGCACCATCCAGCTCCTTAGCAAGAAATGGCAGTTTTTTGTAACCTTTAATTGATTATAAACAGATTTGTAGCATTATTTTACTGACATTTCTGTTTATATTCCTGCTTGTTCCATAAAGCTCTTACTGACCCGCTACCTTCTATTCCTGTGTTTTCACCCCGAAGCAGCGCTACAAGACTTGACTTCTCCCTGACTGGCTGAAAATCAGGCTGAGAACCTGATTTTCTTTTGGAACACTGTGCATGGCAGTTGCTCAGAGTTTTTTGTTTGCCCTCTGTGATTGTCCTCAAACCTCTCTCCGAGCTGCTGCTGACGCAGGAAGGGTTTCACCACCACCTGTGATGTGATTGCACCGTTTGCTTTGCCAAATGGAGAACACGAATATTGACTGGAAAGCTTTTTTCCCCTCTGGTTTAGCTGAGTTACTGGCAGCTCTGTCACTTCCACTAGACAGGGAGGAACACCTTTGTTCCTTTTGGCTCTTAACAGGCTGCTGCCATGCTTTTTGTTCACTCCTGGAAGGTTCCTTGTGCTCACCAGTGACTGGGAAGGAGGGATTTGGTGATCTGTTACTTTTTGTGTTCAGTCACAGTGAAAACAGCAGGATTTTGTCCTTATCTTTAACCTGTTATCTATGTATCGATCAAAAAACAGAGGTTAATTTTGAGGTGTGGCTATTCCAGAGGACAATATTCCTGTGGGACAACATGACCTGGGCTGAACTGGCCTGAGTTGACCCTGGAGACCGGCACGGTCAGGGGACTTTGTGCTGCATGTGCACACAGGCAGCCTGGCATGACAGCCCTGCCAGACCCCTTTGGACCACATCTCCTTCCCTGGAGCCTGCAGCCTTCCCGCACAGCTGACGGAATCCACCGGGGCAACAAGATGACGGGCGGCACAACTCGCACGCGGGGATTTGGGAGGGCCGGGTGAGGGAAGGCCGGGCAGGGCATCTCAGCCAAGAGTGGTTTGTCAGGAGAGCAACGTGAAGTACTTTAAACAACTCTGCTTCTCAGGAGATGCAGCTCCAAGAACCCGGCTGCTGCTCCTGAGAAATACCACCGTACCGAAAGGACAGCGTGTTGATCCCAAGGAATGTCCTCTGGCCCTTAACTTGGGGGCAGTGGATTCACTGGTGGATTCAGGGAAGAATGACTGCAGGGGAGCAGTGTGGCTGCTGGGCTTTGGAGATGCCCCTTAAAGGGAAATGAGGGGAATTTGCCCAGCTAGAGAGGAAAAAAGCAAATTTCCATTCCCATTCAAGGTAATCCTGACAAAGTATGCACCTTTGAACTGGGCTCCTCTCCAGTGTCTCCCCTGGAGTGTGTTGCCTCTGAGTTGCCCACAGGGACAAATTCCATACCCTTCCCAAACCATGTAATGAAGTGATGTCCCACCAGATGGGGAGACTGAGGTTTCAGGATGAAGAAGGGCTAGGAAAGGTCACTGCTCTGTTCTCCACTGGAACTCCCAAGTGGGTCCTGTCCCAGGGTCAGCCTTGATTTGTTGCTGTGTAAAATACTTCGGTTGAGTTCCCCAAGGATGAGGAAAGTCCTGTTTTATCAAGGTTGGTATTCCCTGGTGAAGAAGGTGTGTCCTTGCTCCTGGCCTCCCTGGGCTCTAAGTACAGGCAGGTCACAGTGGGGCTGACAAACCTGTGCCTGTTCAAGGCAGCTGTGAGGAAAAGGTTGTGAAAATCCCTTTCCTGGGCACCCCACCACGATCTGATGGCTGGAGCACCTCTGCTCTGGAGACAGGCTGGGAGAGTTGGAGTGGTTCAACCTGAAGAAAAGGCTCCAGGGAAACCTTAGAGCCCCTTCCCAGTGCCTAAAGGGGCTCCAAGAGAGCAGGAGAGGGACTTGGGACAAGAACCTGGAGTGACAGGACAAGGGAAATGGCTTCACTCTGGGGTCAGGTTTGGATCAGATATTAGGGAAAGATTCTTTACCGTTCTGTGATTCCATGAACTTCCCCAGCCTCCTGTCTGTGGCTAATTCTCTCCGAGCTGCCATGGATCCCACCAGGAGCCTGCGGGGTGTACAGGAGTGAACGTTTGCTCCGGGCAATGCTCAGGATTAAAAGAAGATCTGAGGAAAACAGAAAAACAAACTAAAAGCAGTCTGAAAAGGCATGAGGAAAGGCTGGTTTACAAAAGAGCTGATGTTTAAACTCTGGCAAATGTCACATATTGCAGCAAGAGCATCCTGTGGGAATATGGCTCTACCAGTACTGGTTTGTAACAACAAACAGAGGTATTTGCAGCACCCCAAAACTGAAATGGGAAATATGGTTGTTGGAGGAAATGAATTGCTTCTGTTTGCTTCAACTGCAGCTAAATGGGTGAGAAGTGGGAGTATATTTTTAGCAAAACCTAATTTCAGGTAGAAAAAAACCAAACCCAAACCTGGCAACGCTTCAGGACTCTGTATCTCTTGGTTTTGCAAGTCTAGAAAATTGTCAAAGTAAGTTTTAAAATGATCAAGGTGAAGCACAGATCAACCAAAACTAGAACTTGGAATTTTAAAAACATCGAAAAATTTTGTGTGTGAACTTTGGCTTGGCCTGAGCAGATCTAAAATATGGATGTTGAGCTGGTGCTTCACCAGAGAGTTGTGAACTCTGCAGGAGAGATGAGGGGAATTTTGTGAGTGTGCTTGCATGAAAATACCGTTACCCCATTTGGGATGGCTGAACTCTGGTTGAACCAAACTGCTTCGATCTGATCTTATAAAAGAGCAAAGCACTATCTTCTCTATTGCTGTGTATGATGCTAAGTTGAAAGGATATGGTGAAACATCGCGTTTTAAATCTTCTCTTCACCAGAAATATTTAATTTTTGCTTTTGCAACCGCTCTTGCGTCCGTAGGGCCGCGGAGGTAGAGTTGAGAAGGAGAGGAAGAATGGGAATAACTGGATACCTAAAGGCAGATTGAACCATAACATTTACATTTCTCCCTTATCTGATCTGAGGGTTTTGTAATTGCTGGGTTATCAACCTTCCTGCTCGTCCATGTGCTTGGGTTGGACAGAGCAAGAGGAATGTGGATCCCTTGTTTCTCAGCGTCGCCCAACGGACTTGATTTGGGAATTCACTTCTTATGGAATTTGTGGTGACCCCCCCCACCCCAGCCGATTTCAACGTGACTTTGGACATTCGTTATCTGTGGTTCTTTAGAAAGAAACCTCATTTCTTGGTACTTCACCATAAGAGGGAACTATTTTCAGGAATTTTAAGGGGAGGAACGAAACGGCTACGAAGGAGTTTTGGGTCGTTGCTGCTGTATTTCCAGTGGGGGGAAGCGCCCTGGGAGGGTGTGACCAATTTGTTTGAATAAGCTGTTCATAAGTTTCCACTCCAAGAGACCTGTAATCCTTATTTAATCAAATGTTGTCATAAAGACCACTTTTTAATTCCTCGACGGGCTGGAGGTGACGTCTTGAAACAGAGCTCCATTTACATTAAAAATATGCATTCTGCGGTAGAGCAAGAAAAATAAGGCTTTCTATAATATTTTGGAGTTTCACGGTGTGTTTTCCTTTATTTTATATTAAGTGACAGATTACTCCAAAAAGAATAAGTGCTAGATTCATAAAAATATATCTGCATGAGGTCAGCTGCTGCAGCCTGGGTTGGAAATGATCCTTGGGGAGGGTGGTTTTTGGGAGGCAAAAAGTTGGAAACCTTAAATGCATTATTTTAATTTTTTTTTTTTTTTATTTTTTTTTAGATCATTTAGAACTTTGTGTGCAGATATGTCCTTTAAATTCATATGCCAGAATTTCTGACCAGTGACACCCAGGCATTAGGGGCTTACAAGCAGGATTCCCATAGGATAATTATTGCTATGTGTTAGGCTTAGTTTGATTATGAGATGTTTGATTTCTAGTGCTGGAGCAGGGATCATCCCAAACAGTGTGCGGAGAGCAGCCGCCAAAATTTGTGGATAATCCCACAGAATAGGGCGCAGAATGCTCACAGCCCATCCCTGTTAGTAACTGCTATTAATGTAGCATTCCCTGGAATGCACTAACATTAAGGAGAGACAGTGTGTAATTACATGCACCAACATCTGCTGGCAAGCCAAGCACTCCACAGTTTGGAGAACCTCAGCCTTGGATAATCCCAAACCACACCTTTGTATTCCTGCAGCGTGCCGGGCCGTGGGGACAGGGATGATGCTGAGCTCCTGGGCCACCTCTTCCATCGAGGAGGTGGCCGCAGCAGCCCCGGGGGGCCTCCTGTGGCTGCAGCTGTACGTGTACAAGGAGCGGGAGGTGGCGGAGTCCCTGGTGAGGCGGGCGGAGCGGGCCGGCTACAGCGGCATCTTCGTGACGGCCGACACGCCCTACCTGGGCCGGCGCCTCGCCGACGTGCGCAACAAGTTCCAGCTCCCTCCAAACCTCAGGTACACCCCCTGTGGGATGTGGGGTGGGCAGCTTCAACTTTTCTTTTGCTCAAACACAGAAACACGTGGCTATAAATCTGTCTGAATTCTCCATGAGGGCAATTTCTACCCCCCACGATTCTCTATCTCGGAATTTGTGGCCTCGTTGTTGACTTCAGCACTAATTCTAATTCCTCCCCACTGCAGGGCCTGGGAAGCATTCAATTTTAACAGAGCTAAATGAGATTTTTGACCTTAAAACGGCTTTGTCAGGGCACTGATTTCCCTGGCCTTTTGCAGATATAAATTGGTAGACTGTACAGAGCACCCTGATAAAGATGTGCTGAAGTGCTGGTGCAATTTCAGCAGCCACAAGTATTAGCTGGAAGAGTATTTAATGGATGGGATATCCAGGACTTGGAGATAAAACTCTCGTGAGAATCTTGCAGGTGGGTCTGGGTAATGACTGCAGTTTGCTGTGGTGTGCGTTAAGATTATTCAGAGCACACAAATGAACACAAAAATGGAAAGAAAACATGATTAAAGGATAGGTGAAATTACTTTGGAGCAGATGAAATTGGATTTCCAGGTGAAAGCTACTTTTGAATATTATCAATGAAACTGAATTGCTCTTCCTGTGTCTCCAAAGACCGTTGTGTTATGCAATATATGTAACACGTACCAGGAGGAATCACATCCCCAGGTCTCTCTCACCTTCTATTTGAATATTATGGAAAATAAGCCATGGGATTCTGCAGTGAGTCTGATTCTCCACCTCGCAGGCAAAAAATCCTCCAGAGCTTGGGGTGTTGGCTCTCCCCCTTACACTTGTACTTGAAGCTAAAATATGACATGATGAAGGCTGACAGAGCAACCTGAACTCTGCCTCTATTTTTGTGTTGTAAAGTACAACCTTAGGAGGAAAGCAGCATAAAGAAAAAAGCCCTGGCACATCCAAGATGAAAATGTACCACACTGGGTTGTGCATGCCCCATATTGTGATTCTGCTGTAATCTGTGTTTGCCACACCATCAATACACACTGACATTTTACCTAAAAAAGAATTAAATAATTCTTTAAATAGCTTATTTTTTTATGGGCGATATAATTTTAAGGCCTGGGGTTAGAGAGTTCCTGGATGTGAGTTCAATGACCCCAAAATATTTGAGGGAAGCGATGGAGTGTTTCTGAAACACTTTGACCCCACCTGACCAAACCATACCGAGGTTTTGAGTGAACTGGATGAAATCCCATGGAATTGGAGCAATCCTTAAAGGTCCCAATTAATCTCTACAGATTTCAGGGCAGTGCTGGGCAGGGTTTTGTTGCAGGGTCGGCGGCGAAACCCTCCTAGCACGGGGCTCTTGCTCATTTATGTGATAACTTTTTCTTGGCTTCAGGTTTTCAACAAAGTTTCAAAGCAACAACAAGGTGCCATTGTGCTCTGAAACGTATGTAAGGCAACATTCATTCAAGTGTTGATCTGCTTTTCCCAGGCCAAGAAAAACAACAGTTATTTATATAATCTTATCCCTGGTTCTGTTTTTCTCTGGGTACCCCACCCTCCACAAACCAACAGCTGAAAAGCTGGATCTTGCTGGGAGCCCGCTCCTTCCTCCTTTGCTTCTGGGCCTGGAGCTGAACAGAAAAGCCATGTGAAGTGCTGCTTGTTACAGGCATGAAATCAGCAGTGAAACCAGCCAGTTTCCATGCAGAAAACCTCATGCACTTCCCAAAATGTGTAATATGAGTATTAAATAGCCCAGTGTGGTTTCTGAAGAACAGAGCAATCAGCCTCGTGTGGGATGTGGGTGTCCTAGAACCCGACTGATCTGGGGCTAAAAGCCCCAAATAATAGCTAATGTTTTCATATGAACTAATTTCCCCTCCACACACACATTTTACCAGGACACGAGCAAAAGAGACACAAGGTGAACTGGCTGGATGTTGGCCTCGTTGGACAGATGGAAATTCTGAATTCTTTGCAAGGTTTTGTGCCTATCCACCTAAGTCATGGAGCTTAACAAAACTTCCCTTCCTCCTTCTCTCCTCCCACCTACCTGATCCCCTATTCCTTTGGTAGCTGAATTCCCTGGATTTGAAAAAGAAGCAAAACCAAACCCTATTTCTTTTGCTAGAACTAGGACTGTTGCCTTAGGCCGGAGAACCTTGCACAGAATCATCACAGAAACATAGAAAGGCTTGGGTTGGAAGGACTTTAAAGATCAAATGCTTATGTTGGTTATCAAATGCTTTGTCAGCCAAAGATTTTGGCTCGCTAAGGACTGGGATCTGACATGCTGGGATTGGCTTTTTTTGCTCCTGCCCTGCAGCAGAGCAAAGTTTTATCTCACAGGTATATTGATTCGGGGCTACAGTGGACCTTTCTCAGCCTATTTTTCCATTTCTTTTGTCATTTTAGATTAAAAAACTTTCCCAGCAGTGACCAGGCGTTTTCCTCGGGGAGAGACTTTGGAGAGAACAGCGGGCTGGCCGTGTACGTGGCTGAGACCATTGATCCAGGTCTCAGCTGGGAGGACATCAAGTGGCTTCGGGGGCTCACCTCGCTGCCCATCGTGGTGAAAGGCATCCTCAGGGGTGTGTAGGTTAAGGGAATCCTCAGGGGTGTGTAGGT